TTATAATTAGCTCTTTGATTCTTAAATTTCATAGAACACTGGTGTTCAATTATTAGAGTTTTAATTCTAAAAAAAAAAACCATCATTCCAAGAGGCATATATCAGAAATGGACACCCTTTACTCTTACACACAACCTTAATTTTTTTCTCTTCTATTTGCTAAATACTTCAAATCAAACCTATGAGCTATTGCATAAGCATGCAAAACATCCTTTAACTATTTTTGATTTTCAAAATCATTCCTAATTCAAACCTAGGTTTAGCATTTGAATGATCAAAGAACAACTTACTAGTCTTCTTAGATACAAAATTCCTATCTGAATCAGTCTCATGACTCCTAACATTTAAAGAATGCAGGTAAGCAGTATCCTCCCCACTGTTTCACCTCCTAAATTTGTTGAACAATTATTCCCTAAATCTATCTCATTTTCCTCCCCAACACCTAAATTAACAGTAGCTTCTAAGTCTGATGCAGTGATAGTGCTATTTTTATCTTTCTTTTCAATAAATTGAAGTTGTTTCTGATGGAGTTTATCTCATCATCATCATTATATAAGAGACAATATCCACCTAACTCGCCATCTCCTCTTCAGTATCATAACTCAAGTCATTAATATCTTCATCTACTAACACATCAATACCAATAGACCCAATAGGCCCACTGCCAGCATTTTCATTACCCTCTAAAGTCATTTTCTTAATTTGGATAACCTAAAAAATGCAATACAATAAATATAAATAATTCACAAACAAACAAAATTTTTCTCACAATTATCAGTCCAATAAACACACAAGATTAATGGTGACTTTTAACCAATATGCATTATATCTATCATTATGGTCAACAAAATTATATTCTTTAACACATTTTTCTTACAATTACCAGTCCAACAAAAATTTAACAAATCAAATAACAAATATGCATTATATATGTCATAAACAAACCAAACCACAATATTTTAATAATTAATAAACATGTTATGGTCAAACTTAAATTCATTAAAATTCTTTAACACAAAGCACAAGACCTGTTACTTATTTAAATATTATTTATATATTCTTTAATCAAATATTTTACTATTTTCAAAAACAAATGTAGAAGAAGACAAAAACTATCTTTGTTGGTCAAATTCATAATCAACAGCACCAAAAGTGCTTCAATTTTATGTACCCTAAAAAAGTCACATTGTCAAAATAAAAAAATTACTTACTATTAAAATCCAAAGAATCAACAAAATATACTTACCATTAAAACCAAAAGGTTTAAGTATACAAATTATGCTTACCTATTTTTCCAACACTTTCGCTTCTTCAAACTTGACCATGACCAACACTTCACTTCTTCGCTAGTTCTTATTTCTTAACTCTAATGAGTAGATTGAAAAACAAAAAGAAATCGATTTAGGGTAGTAACATATTTCATATTCCTCAATTGAAACGATAAACGAGAATTATTAGGGTTCCTTGCAAATTTTCAGATTACCCAAAAAGGGGAAGAGAGTGAAGGAGAAGAAAGTGAAATTGATTTAGGGTTAACAGGTAAAAATTTAAAGGTTTTACTTTTTCAATTAATTTCTTATTTTTATAATCATTTTTTAGTATTAAAAAATACACCACGTGGCATTTTTAATGGGATAACATTCCGTTACGGCTAGACCCATTTTGAGTGACGGAATGGAACATTAGGCACCAAACTGGAACGAAATAAATATTAGGCACCAAACTGGAACGAAATAAATATTAGGCACTAAACTAAAAAAACATGCATAGATTGGACACCTTTTGTATATTTAAGCCTTTTTTCATTTTTTTGGTGTAGTCTTATCCATGGGTATATTGGTTTTCCAGTTGTGATGTACTCTTTTCCTCTATGATTAGGAAGATTTTTAACGAGACTCGCAATTTGAGACTAAGTATTTCTTAATAAAAATATTTTGTCGAGCAAAAGAAAAAAAATCAGGTTCCAGAATTCATTGATGTTTGTTCACAAAGTTTTGTTCAGATAGATGGATTCACTCTTATGGTACTATAGAAACATTGGTCAACTGTCTCTTAGGATATAATAACGATATAAGCAAAGCAGTAGAAGGATTACAGTATCTTATCATTATAATTTCTCGAAGAACAATACACCATTTTACAACTGAGGTCACTCAAAGAATTCACATGAAAATATAAAATATTATTATGTATCTTTTAGTAACATTTGTAGTATCTTATCATCATAATTTCTCGAAGAATTTTCATTGGGATGATCATCCCTCCTGCAATTTTCTAAAATTTTAAATAATTTAAATTTTTTTTATTTTTTATGATTTAATTTCGTTTCTCTAAAATGTTATATTTTCATACCTTAAATTTATAATATAAGTTATTGAATATAAAATTCACATTATGATATAAAATCATATATCTATCCATGTATATACTCACTTTAAATTAATTGAATTAAGGATAAAAAACAAGTAAATGATTTATATAAAGTTTTAATATCAGTTTTAAATAATTTTTAATTTTTTCTTTTAAAAAAATCCAACATCACAACCTTGTCTTTTAATGCTATGCAAAGGGTCCTTTGCTCGAGGAAATTGTTTGGAATTGAAAGCATTACTACCTAACAGACGCTTCAAAGTTGAAATAATTATTAATTATTAATTTTCAGACTCCCTCTTGCCCATAATTACTCTTAGCTCTTTAATTATTTTCAAATCATTCTTAAATTCTTGATGTTTGATTTTTATTCCAAATTAAATCTTGTTATGTGTGAATTTTGTCTAAATATATTTATAAGTATAATATTTCTATTCTACATATTCTTGAATATAATCCTTCAAATTTATTAGAAGTTAAACATATTTATCATTAGATTTTGGATTTGGTTAATATAAACAAGGTAAAAGGGTAATTTTTGTCTCTGTAGTGGACCCAATTTATTATTTTCGCCCATATCATATTTTTGCATCAATTTAACTCTCAAAGTTGCTCAACTACATCATTTTATACCCTACCTCTAACTTAAACCCTAAATTATAAATCTTAAACCATAAATCATAACTCTATAACCTCTAAATCATAAACCCTAAATCTTATCTTAGGATTTATAATTTAGGATTTTAAGTTAGGAGTAAGATATATAATGATGCAATTAAACATTTTTTAGGGTTAAATTGATGCGAAAATACGATAGGAGCGAAAATGATAAATTGAGTCTACTACAAGAACAAATGTACCCTTAAACCTATAAACAAAGATTCATGACCATCTTGATATATATAATAATCTTGGAAATTTACTTGTGTCCCTAACATCAATACATTTACAACTGAAACCTCATTAAATTAACAAATCCAAACCTTGTATGTCACTATCTCACAAGTTGACTAAGTTTCTTTTGTTTCATATATGAAGGGCAACATGTCCAATGATATCATCGGGAATTTGACATTGAAATAAGGAATTTAAATTTATTTTTTTACTAAGATATTCTTCATAATAAATGAGATAAGATTAAGAGTTCGAATTATAATAATATAAATTGAATAAATTAAGATAAGAAATTTTTTACAATAATAGATATTTATAATATTTGATTTAAATTAACCGTACCGATGAAATATAAGTAGTTATATAAAAGAAAAATACCAATTCTCCTATATGATGACAACAAATGCTGACATTCAGACCAGGTCCAAGTCCAACACTCCAGCTTGTCTTTTCTATTCCTTTTTTATAATTTTTTTTTAATATTTCATATGATCTGTGACTAAAGTGATAAAAGAAAGCATAGTTTGCAAGGATTTTCGTGCATTTCACGTCTGATTCTTTTCCTGTTTATTGCAGATTATTTATAAGGTGAGAGGTTTTTGAAACACTAATGAATCTGTGCCTGCTTTGTTATTATTTCCAACAGAAATTTGTCCGGTTTCCCAACATTTGTTCCTGTTTTTTTTAGGACAATGAAAGATATTATTTCTTGTTTTAGTGAAAATGCTGTCAATGTTTCTCATTCTTCATGCTCAAGCTATCCAAGAAATGCCTGCATCTCACAAAGTTCAGTTCCTTCACTAAAAAGTGCCGTCACGTGTGTTTACAAAGTGATTCTTTCGACCGGCAAGCAGCTGTTGATCAGAGCCACATTGTCCAAGAATCAGACCAGTCAAGGCCTTGTCATAAGCTTCGGTGACGATGGTCCTTCGACATGTTTCAAGCTCAACACGAATTCAAAGTTTTTCAGGAAGAAGAAAGGAACCAAAGCGACCGGATCTGGTCATTCGAAGATCGAGGTCTTTTGGGATCTATCGATTGCCGAGTATGACATGGGACCCGAACCGATCAACGGATTCTACATCGTGGTCATGGTCAATTCGGAGATAGGCCTTGTTCTAGGCCATATTGGTGAAGAAACTATTACGAGGAAGCTCAAGACTACCACCACCAAAGTGGCGAAATCGTCTCTAGTTTCTCGGCAAGAACATTGTTCGGGCAATACACATTATTCGACCAAGACTCGATTCCGTGACACGGGCATCGTACATGATGTTTCCATTATATGTACCGGAGAACATCAAGGCCTAAAGAATCCAGTTTTATCGGTTCATATCGACAAAAAGACAGTTATTCGTGTAAAGAGATTGCAGTGGAATTTTAGAGGAAACCAGACAATATTCGTTGATGGATTGTTAATTGATCTGATGTGGGATGTCCATGACTGGTTCTTCAAGAATATCACCGGCTATGTGGTGTTCATGTTTAGGACAAGAAGCGGACTTGACAGCCGGCTTTGGTTGGAGGAGAAGCTGTTGCTGAATGAACATGACCGAGTTGAATTCTCTTTGTTGATTTATGCCTGTAAGAACACATAAACAAACTATTCACTTGTGTCCTTGTCTGATTATTTGTCTTAATTAGTCAACTTTCTTGTACAATCTTCCCTTTCCCAACTTATTTCTTCGATCATATGAGAAAATAAAATAACTTCATCTGCACTTATCTTGCAGATTGTTCAGAAATTAACAGCAATTACAAACCATAACACATAGATGCACAAGTACAAGAGATAAGGACATAACAAACAACAGAAGCCAGTCTATGCATTGTCGAAAATCATCAAGCCGAAGCCTTTGCAAAAACACAAGGGAAATCAAGCAGCACAATCTTGTCAATGGCACCAGAAAACGTTGCAGAGAATTCAACATGACTTGGATGCCCGACAAACGCTGTATAATCCTCTTTGCTGTGGAAACTCATCAAGAAGGCATGTGTAAACCCTTGTCTAAGCATCTCTTCACTCTCAATGTCTTGTCCCCCGCAAGAAGAAAACAGGCTCATGAAAAATCGATGTTTCCCTCAGACAATACCTTAAAAAGAAAAGAAAAGAAAAAGCGTACCATTCGAACGATTTGACGGCGTCGATCTCCGAAACCAGCTTCTCCATTCCATTGAGTATGTCATCGACCGGACAATCGGCCTTAAACTTAACGATAAGAAGATGCTTGAACCCTGCCATTGTTGTATCTCTTGTAGAGTTTTGACGTTTAGGACATCACAGATTTATACAGACCACAATTATTTGTGTGTCAACTTCCACAGTTTACAATCCATCCAGTGTGACAAAACACCACTACCCCTAATCCCACCATCTGTATCCATGGTACGAACGTAAGATTATAATGTCGGATGTATTTCGATCTTGTCATGTTTATCGAAATTATGGATTTAGCGAAGCAGTCTGCACCTCAATATATGGAGATGTACAGTCTCGCATATGGTGGGGGTGAGACTTTACAGTCAGCCATTGTTTTCTTTTGCCATTGTCCTTTTGCCTTTTTGCTTTTGGATATTGTCCTAATCGGTTTTTGTTCAGGCACGAATTTTCTTGACGAAAAAAGTAATGTAAATAAATGAATGGTTTTTCATGAAAAGCTTGGAGTCGTCATTGATATTTTTGGGTTAGGTAGATCAAATACCTAAAAATCATCTTTTAAAAGAGTTTTTAAGAAAACAACATTTAAAAGATAAACTGGTCTGAGTTTAACCAAAAATTCATTCATTTTAATAATAAAAAGGGATTCGTGGTCGGTTACGTTTGGGAAAGAATTAGCATACCACAACGTCCAAAATTGGTACATATTGATTATAAATTGTCTTTAGTAGTGAAAATTTAAGAATTCAAATATGAATTTAATTTACGATCCTATTATTTCATATTCAATCGGATAATCTTAAGGAAAAACATATATAAAATGATTTTTATAAATTTTTATAAATAGGATATTTATTTATTTAAAAATATTTAGAAAATGACATCTAGTTACTTTAAGACTGCCTCTTTCTTTAATATTAAAAAATAAATAAATATTAATAAGAATATAATAATTTTCTTCAAAAAATAATTTAAATAAAAATGAAGCGGGATATAATATTTTATTTATTTTTAAATATAAGAAAATAACATCCAATTATTTTAGGAAAATCCATTTCTTTGATATTAAAAAAAATATTAATAAAAAAATAATTTGAATAAAACTAAAACAAATATATATATTTATGTGACTAAAATAAAATAATAAAAAATAATAGTTAAATTAATAACTTAAACATATTGAAATTAAAAAGATAATAATAAAATTTAAGATGTAGTTTAAACAGTGACTAAAATAGAGAAAATTAAAACTATAGGAGTAAAAAAAAAGAAAACTTATGGTAAAAAATTAAAATCAGTGATTAAATTATAAGATTCGAAATTAAAGGCAAAATTTGTATTATTATAAAATATAGATGCTAACAGTATAATTTATCCTTAATTAAATAATTCGAGATTAAAATAAACATTTATAAAATTATAAGAAATAAATAAATATTTACCCTAAATATTTAAACATATATAGTGACTAAATTATAATAACACAAAATTTAAAAGACCAAAATAAAAGGATTAGAAATTACTTTCAATGACCAAAATGGAAGTTTACAAACTTCGATGGACTGCGGATAACATTTAACCTTTTCCTAAATTGCACAGACACCCCTCCCCCAAAACAACATCGTATGGGGGAGAATATATAAACCCCAAATTCAACCCCTTAAAGGCCATCTTTCCCCATTTTTATTTTTCACTCTCTCTCTTAAAGACAGAGAGATTAAAATCTCTCTGCCCTCTCTCTGAAAGTCTACGGTCGACTGCCTTACGTCGGTGACGATCGTCGCCGCCAGCCAATGCCCACGGTGGCCGGATTTTACAAAAATACCCAAATCAAAGCCCCGATTTTTCTATACCCGAATCTAAGGTTGTTTTAACCTAAAACCTTACCAATCGTCGTAGATCTAGGTTTTTACCTTCGGTTTGTGGTGGTTCCACGTCAGTTTGGAGGCTCCGATGAATGTGGTATGTTTCTTCCCTTTTTTTACTTTTGATTATTTTCCGTTCTGGTGTTGGTTGCTTGTTGTTGATGGGTTGCTCTTCGTGGCTATTGGTTGATGTCTATCTTCGTGTCCTCTGTTTTGCAGGGTTTGACGAGGCTTTTATAGCCCACCACGACACTAGCCTCGGACCGGTCACAAATGGCGACCCTAGGTGAGTCACCAAAGCTGTGGTGACTCACCATAAGGAAATAATGTGTGCTGCATCGTGGCACTTCTGGAGCCTTCAGCGAGGCATCATGGCAACGGTAGAGCGGCGGCAGCAGCTGGTTGGGTCACCTGGCAGTGGGAGCGTCGGTAGTGGCTGCTGTTCATCTTCAATCCCAACAGCGGTGGCGACTGGAGATAGGGTTAGAAACCCTAGCTATATTTTAGTGTTTCCTTTGGGCTGGTTCAGGTTTGGACCTTTGGTTATGGGCCCTTATTATAATTGGATTACGTTTTAGGGCCTATAATAAATTAATAATATTAATATTAATATTAATAATAATATAATAATGATAATAACAATAACAATAATAATAATAATGATAACAAATAGACCAAAAGACTAGTGTCTACAGCTGCCCCTCTTTGCTTATTCTTGTGTTAACAAGAATAGAGCAAAGATGAAAAAAGACAATAAGTTTTTTTGTCCATTTGTCTTTTCTTGATTAGGATGGTAATATTGAACAAGTTCTTCTCATTATGAACTTCTTCCACTGGGAATGACAATTCATCTCATTCTGTGATGTAATCTAGCAAAATGTTGAATAAGTTCTTCTCATTATGAACTTTTTCTTCCTCTTCAGATGAGTTCTTCTCATTATGAACTTCCTCTGGAAATGTTGATCCTCAAAAGAGGTATCGTTGATTCAACTTCATATGTGATGAATTAAGCTAAGGTTGAACAAGTTCTTCTCATCATGAACTTCTTCTTTCTCTTCAGATGAGTTATTCTCATTATGAACTTCCTCTGAAAATGTTGATCCTCAAGTGAGGTTCTTATTTCATTCAACTCCATAGGTGATGAATCAAGCTAAGGTCGAACAAGTTCTTCTCATTATGAACTTCTTCTTCCTCTTCAGATGAGTTCTTCTCATTATGAACTCCTTCTGGAAATGTTGATGCTGATCTATCTCCTTCTGTGATAGAGTCGAGCAAAAGGTTGAACAAGTTCTTCTCATTATGAACTTCTTCTTCCTCTTCAGATGAGTTCTTCTTATTATGAACTCCTTCTGGAAATGTTGATGTTGATCTATCTCCTTCTGCGATAGAGTCGAGCAAAAGGTTGAACAAGTTCTTCTTATTATGAACTTTTTCTTCCTCTTCAGATGAATTCTTCTCATTATGAACTCCTTCTGGAAATGTAGGTCTTATGGATGACCTGAAATTTTTGAAAACATTATGCACTGAAGGTCTTACAGATGATCCAAAGGCTTTGAAAACATCATGCACTGAAGGTCTTACAGATGACCCGAAGGATTTGAAAACATCCTGCACTGTAGGTCTTATGGATGACCTGAAGGTTTTGAAAACATCATGCACTGAAGGTCATACAAATGACCCGAAGACTTTGAAAACATCATGCACTGAAGGTCTTACAGATGACCCGAAGGCTTTGAAAATATACTGCACTGAAGGTCTTACAGATGACCCGAAGGCTTTGAAAACATCTTGCACTGTAGGTATTATGGATGACCCGAAGGTTTTGAAAACATCCTGCACTGTAGGTCTTACAGATGTGGGAAATAGTTTACTAAGTAAGAAATTTTGGAAATCATTTTCTTAATATTCAACAATTTCATTTTTAGAAAATATTAAATGAGAAACTTTGGAAATCGTTTTCTCATTTTTCAAAATAACTTGTTGATTGGGTAACATGCCCCATTTCAAAATAATGTTTCTTCTGTGAATTGCGTCCATATATTCTTTAGATGTTTGCGTGATTTCTATATTTGAGGTTTGAATTCTACCTTCTTCTTGTAAGGTATTTTTCATCATTAATCTTCTTTTTTCATACGAAGATCTGTAAAAACTTTATATTTGAATGCAATCAAATGTATCAATGTAATGTATTTTCTATTATGCAAATGATGATCTTATGAATGTATAAATGTTGATGCAATCTTCATGTGGCTTCAAAGTGGTGAACTCAGTCTTAATTCACTTAGTCATTTCAGGGTTTTCTTTAGATATCAGTGTAGCAACTTATGATATATTTCTGAAGAACCATTTGATCAACTTGTATCTTTGTGTCTTCTTTGTTTCATTAAAATCTCAGAAGAAATGTTTCATTTAAGGAACTCTGGCTATAATCATAATCATGACCTTGTTGTCATATTTTGTCTTTGATAACATCAACTTTCTTCGTCTGGACTTATATAGAAATCCAGTAAAGCTGTCATCTTTGAAAAGAGATTCTGTCATCTTTGAAAAGAGAATTTATCATATTTGAAGAGAGAATCTATCATCTTTGAAGAGATGATCTATCATCTTTAAAGAGAGGATATATAATCTTTGAAGAATGAATCTATCATCTTTGAAGAATGAATTTATCATCTTTGAAGAATGTAGATGTAGATATGCCAAAATCAGCAGAGATAAATTAGGAGAGTAGTATTTGTTCTCATTTGACTCTTGAAACACATCATAAGGAGGATTTATCCTAATTCCTTTCATGTCTCCACATCTAATTGGATCTCGAACAAAGTCATTCAGACCATATCATGTCCAGATGCTTAACAACAACCTGTTGTTCAACCTTACTTGGCTCTACTAGTTTCTTGTTGTTAAAATTTCAGCTTCCCTTCTGTGGAAAGAAATATTCATATTTTTCACTTTTAACCTTGGGGTTGAAGAAGACAAACTTCATCTTGGATCCATACATGGAAATACCATATGATTGCAACATTGGTTCAGCACCATAATCATTGGTTCATAAAACATTTGACAACACATTCATCATTTCCTGTGGTTTCTGCCTAGATGTTCGTAAAACATTTGACAACACATTCATTCTTTCCTGTGGCTTCTGCCTAGATGTTCGTAAAACATTTGACAACATATTCATCATTTCCTCTGCCCAAATTTTCGTAAAACATTTGACAACACATTCATCCTTTCTTGTGGCTTCTGCCCAGATTTCTCATCAGTGAAGCTCTTTCATAGTGTTCATATCTTTTATATGATGTTACAAAGACACTAGAGAACAAAAGTCAGTGGGAATACAAATGAGATGCTAGTGTGTTTCATGACCAAAACGTTGGTCAAAT